GGGGGTTATAGTGTTAGGGGGTGCTTGTCACTGCTGTCTAGTCCAAGTTGCCCTCGATACCGGTAGGGTGATGGTCCTGAGTGCTGGTCACACTGAGGTAGGATAGTAGGGATAGGGGGTGCGCTGGGAGCATTAACGTGGGGAGGGGTAGGGAAGGTGGCCTATCCTGTCAGGATAACCACCGGCCGCCACTGCCAGCGATCACCGTGGGTCTAGTCCTTGGCCTCAACAACACCCTGGGATTACAAATAATAATAATAATAATAATAATAATAATAATAATAATAATAATAATAATAAAAATAATAATAAAAAAAATGATGTGCTACGGCCACCAGGGGGGAACCGGCCCGGTCGACCAGCCAGTAGGACGGGTCCGGTTCCGGTTGGGGGAGGTGCCCCCGGTCCTACCGTGTTTGCAGCTCTGGCACACAAGGGCCCTCCACCCAATAATATCATTTGGGCCAGACCTTGCCAGCCATCACAGGAAACAAATTGAGCACGAGGGTCTCAGGCAGTGTCTTGCGACTTCAGTAGTGGGCCTGCTGGTGCAGCGCCTTGCAACTTCACAAGCAGCTTGCTGCACCGGCTCTTTTTTAAGGGGTGCTGGTTTTCCAACGTAGCCTACCATCGGCCGTCCACCAAAAGAAGCCCAGCGCAATGTCGCACAACTCCAGTCCACATCACATTGCATGCCAGTTGGGAATAGGATGACCCAAAATCCAACTTGCTCACATGCAAAACTGCGACAAGCCCAATTGTTTCGGATAGAAGATGTAGCATACATGTGTCAAATTTTCCCAAAGATGGTTATGTATTTCTTTACTCTTTCTTTATTCATACAAGCGAATACGTAGCCTGCGGCGCAGAGCCGTCAAAATCTTCTGAAGATGGTCGTTTCCGTGTTTCTTTACTTCTTTCTTTACTCGTACAAACAAATGTGGAGCCTGCAGCCCAGAGCCACTTGTCCTCCACGGCCAAAGCTAGACGCAACTTGGCTCTTGCTTGGTATGGCCAGGCACTGTCAAGCGGGCCAGGCAGCATCTCCAAATCCACCTTGTATTCCACGCAGCGAATCCCAAAATGAAACCCCGGCTGCAAAGCAGCCCAGGGCGAACTCACACTTCGCCCACCCTAAATTTACCCGGCTGCGATTACAGCCTCACCTGGAGGTAAATGACGGAACAAAAGCCCTGGTGTGAGAACTCGCTCAGAGATCTCACAGTTTCTTTTTCGACCCGTTGAGCTCCAACTGATTCTTTCTTTCCATCCAAGGCATACTACAGTCTTCCCCCGAATACAACGTACGGTCATTATAGCTGAATTTAGACTGAAAGATACACCAAATTCAGCTATAATAACCGTACGTTGTATTCGGGGGAAGGGGGTAGACCCGGCTGCAATTACAGCCCGGCCTGGATGTATGTGACGGCCCAAAAACGTCCTGGTGTGAGAGCTCGCTCAGAGATCTGAGTGCCTTTTCGGCCCGTTGAGCTCCAACCGATTATTTCTTTCCATCCCAGGCATACTCGACCCGTCTGCGATTACAGCCTGACCTGGATGAATATGACGGCACAGAAGCCCTGGTGTGAGAACTCGCTCAGAGATCTTTCCTTTTCGGCCCGTTGAGCTCCACCCGATTCGTACTCGACCCAGCTGCACCGCGCTTAGGGCCTCGCTCCACTACTCGCCGTATGCACATGTACTCGATCCAAATCTGTGTCCTGCTTGCTAACAATGGGCCTCGCTCCAAGCCCTGCTTGCTCCAAATGTGCAAAATGAGACTGAATCCCCCACTAGAACATGGAAAAATGCATGGCCATATATTTTTGTCTTCCGTGCATGTGGAGAGTACGGGAGCGAGGCCCAATGACATGTCTTCTGAAGGGTGGGCCTCCCTCCACTACTCTCCAAATGTGCAAAATGAGACTGAATCCATCACCAGAACATGGAAAGGTACGTCGCCATATTTTGTCTTTTGTGCATGTGGAGAGTATCGGACCGAGGCCCAACAACATGTCTTCCTTGCCTTCAGACCCGGAAGAACACAAAAGTGTGAAAAGACAAACCAGCAGTACATAACCAAAACAGGCGACAAATGCCCTGCGACTAACATTCCACATTCACTGGGCCCACCCCTGTCCCACGCCCTTTCCCGACACGAGAGTGTCTCGCGTGGGAGCGTCACATGAGACCCTCGCTTTGGCCGTGGGAGCGTCCTGGCAGAGCTGAGAACTGTTAAATAATTAACTGACGATGGGTGAGATGGAGTGTGAAGAACTGGCTGGTTGACAGTGGTTGTCCACAACTTCAACCGCCAGTGCACGACCACAACCTTGCTGAAAATGCAACTCGTTGCCTACAAAAGTTTTGGAGGCTCAGCCTACCGGACCACAATGGCTGGCGGTGCCAGCCAAACAGGAAAGAAAATGTGCTGCTGACGGTTCCGAAAAGCTCGTTATGCAGTAAGGCGCCTGGAGGCCGGGCAGGTCCGGGTGTACTGGTGGTTAAAGGTTTGGAATTTAGGGTTTAGAGTTGGGTGCCGGGTTTTGGGTTTGGGGTAGGGTAAGGGATGAGTAGAGTGTACGGCGCAGGGTGTACAATGCAGGGTTTGATTTCCATGACCAAGTTTCAGGTTGGCTGATTGTTCTTCATGCTCTCACAAGGAGACTCGTGCAGGGTCAGTGTTCAGTAGCCGCCACACAGCAAAACACGCAAGCTCTCTTTAAAAAAGGTTGGAAAATCATTCATGAAAACCCAGAGACAAACAACGTTCTATGCTTCAAACAGAGGACAGAGAATTGCACGACGCTCACTCACCTGTGTAAGACAAACAAGATACAAAAGAAAAACGAGACTTTTGAACTGCGAACTTGAAGATGGTGTATGTACAGGAAGGCAGAAAATCACTCGGACAAGAGTGAAAAATGGATCTTCCAGTAATGCCGGGTTAGCCGTCTTTTTCCAAAACCGCACATCCTCGTCGTCTTTGTGTGTCTCTAAGTATTGATCCATTGGACTTGGTCCTGCGGCACCCATGCACAGAACCATAATTCAAACAAATAAAATTACATTGTAAAACACAGAAAACAGCTCAAAACACAGAGAAAACACACAAAACACTCTAAAAAAGGTGACCCCCATGAAGGGTGTCATCATTTTCCATCTTGACACTGCCTCCTCGTGGAAAATAATTGAAATTCCTTCCTCAATCTAGGCTACCAGAGTGGCCCGGGTCCACTTGCCCGGCCGGGCTGAAAAAGAATAAAAAAATAAAAAAATAAAAATTATTTTTTAATTAAAATTTTTATTTTAAATTTGGTAAAGAATTTCGATGCGACCCTGCATAACATAGTTTTTTTTCGGGTTTTTTTTTTTTTTTTTTTTTTTGGCTGGGACTTTCCCTGGTCCTTGCACGGCCGGGCCGCCCGGGAAAATAAATGTGAGCCGGGCGGCCCGGCAGGTAGCCTAGTCCTCAATATTAAACTACCACTTCATGCCCCAGGCAAAGAAAGCCGGGGGCCCAGGGCCACCCAGCCAAAGAGTCAAAAAACGCAGAGAGAGAGAGAGAGAGAGAGAGAGGTGGTGCAAAGTGGTGGACAGCGAGTGGCCTAGTACCATCTTCATCCGAAAATAACGCCCAGGCATTGTACACGAATATAACGCCCAGGCGTTATATTCAGTAAATTGGTGGCCACTACGGCAGGGCCCCAAAGTTCCAAAAAAAAAAAAATTCTGTAAAAAAAAATTGTAAAAAATTCATAAAATATTTTGTCCAGAATTGCAATGCGACCAACTTTTGGTTAGGGTCACTTCAGAATTCCTCATAAACTGCTAGAAGTAGCAAAAGATTTCTACCAAGAGATCAGGCCAAAACCCCGACGCCCACTCCACCCGGCACAAGGGAAGCAAGACAAAGGATGTTACAATACCTGGAACAGACGATAACAACCGAGCAAGCGGAAGCGTTAGACAAACCACTCACTTCGGAAGAACTATATGATAAATCACGAGGGATTGATGGGTTAACGAAAGAATTCTGGGAGAAATTCTGGCCACTCCTGGGTGGACGACAGTTGGGCGAAAGGGGGACTGGGAAGCCTCCTAAGAAGTAGCGTAGTCACTCTGCTGTACAAGAAGGGAGATAAAGAGGACATCAGGAACTACAGGCGTCTTTCGCTCCTTACGCTCCCCTACAAGATCTTGGCCAAAGCCTTATCTGCTAGAATCATGGAATTAACAGATAAGTGCTTCCATATCGACCAAACAGGTTTCATTCCGGGGAGGTACATACTGGACAACGTATTGACTCTAAATGAAGCAGCCAATNTAAGTGCTTCCATATCGACCAAACAGGTTTCATTCCGGGGAGGTACATACTGGACAACGTATTGACTCTAAATGAAGCAGCCAATAAGGTCAGAGAAAAGATGATAAACACAGCCATCCTTTTCTTCGACTTTGAAAAGGCGTATGATCAAGTGAACTGGACCTTCCTAGATACAAGCATGGAGAAGATGGGAGTGGGACCAAACTTTAGAAAATGGATACGCATCTTGTACAACGATGCTACAGGCTGTGTACAGGTAAATGGCTTGCTGTCTGAATGTTATCCAATCTCCAGGTCAGTCCGTCAAGGAGATCAGCTAGCTCTCTCGATCTTCCTGTTCGTGATGGAAGCTATTGCATCATTCTTACGCAAGGACCCGTCCATTCACAGACTCCCAGAGGTCAACATGAGGTCAGCCCACCATATGAACTTCCCGACAGTAATCATGTTCGCAGATGAACTTACTGTCCTGATCAGAGCCTCAGACTCATTCAGAACTTTGGCTAGAGCCATGGAAGCTTTCAGATTGGCATCAGAGACGAGGATCAACTGGAAAAAAACGGTAGGATGGAGGCTATCAGACGAGGACATCCCTCATATGCAAGGGCCTGAGGCCGCCATGACGTGGGAAATGCCGGACACCCCGACCCGCTACCTTGGTATCCTTATGACGATGGAGGGTCTGGTGCCCCAAATGGCCCAAAATGTCCTGACAAAGCAAATTAATAAACTAGGGAGATGGGGGAACACTTTCATCTCACTAGTTGGCCGAGCCCTAGTTCTCAACACATCAGTGTTCTCTATGATGTGGTATATAGCCTCAATCTGGACAATACCGGATAGCAAGGTCCTATTTATGGACGGGGAACCCCAACAAAGAGGGTTGTGTTCCTAAGATTGACTGGCAGTATATCACGAGAAAACCGCTGTATGGGGGTCTAGGGGTTATAGACCCTGGACAGGAAACAAGGGCCCTCCACATGAAATAGATAATCAAGCTTCTAATGAAGCCTGACAACGCATGGAACAAACTAGCTTTAGATAGGACAAGCAGGTGCAGCCAGCGCAGCTCCGCCCGCGAAAAAAGTCAGGAAGCAACCCCAATGAAGAATCTCACTTCGCTCTTTCTGTCTCTGACTCTATGTTTTCTTTGTTAGTGTATGGCTGGTGCTTTCTGTATCACTGTTTTAGCTCTTGGCGTCTTCTGCCTTTCTAAGTGTTTGTGGAAAGCAGACTAGTTAACAGCAATAGTCACAAACAGCAAGGTCATACACGGTCACAAACAGAATAGTAAACAGCAACGAATCTTCAACGATTCGAAGAACATTATCATCGTCACCGAGAAAGAGTAGAAAACAGAATCGCTAAACTTAAAATAAACCGGCCACATACGCCATCCACATATTCAATTTCACCGATTCGATTAACAACAGGTCAAGTTATGTTGACCGGTCACACCGCCCTCAGCTCTCTCTCTCTCTCTCTCTCTATATATATATATATATGAAACTCCGACGAAACAGTTTGTCACAGCCCCTCATTTGTTGTCCTCTTCTCCCTCTCTGCCTACGGTTTACCGGGCAGTTCTATTTGA